GCCACCGAGCCCCAAGGAATCGTTTGCTGACGGCGCTTACCAACAGCAGGAGAGCTTGCCCGATCCGTTACCAAAGAGGTTACGTCTAAAACTGGTTATCCCTGCCCAAAATTGATTGCACTGTGCAAACCCAAGCTGGCTCACATCGGACTTCACTTAACGTGTTGATTCAGAAACTCCAGGTATAAACAAGCAGGAAAAGTTGGTTTAAATGAACATGGGGGGGGGAGGGAAGGAAACCTTGCACTGATGATCCCAGCAGCGCCGCTTGCGAGCTGAGCTCCAGAGACGGGACTAGAAACAGAAGCTGCTGCGTATTCCATCGAGTGCAACCAGTGTGCTTTTGTCCGAAAAGGACACGTCCCTCTGGAGTGCTCCTGCACGCGTACGGAACAGCGAGAACAAACCCCGCCAGGGTTCGCTCGGCGCCGCTCTCCTTCAGTACCCCGTGCCTGAGAGCTGCTCCGCACGCTGCGCCAGCTAAAGCCGGTCACGTAGGGCAGGAATCTCGGGGTAGAAAAACGGATTTTGGGGGTGGGGGTGGGGCGTGTAACTGAAGTTAATTGAGCTCAATATTTGCTTTGCGTTTCTACTGCCTGATGACCAAGCTCAGGTTCCAGGAAAAAAAAATAAATCTTCCGGCACTCCAGGGGAAAGCTGCACCCCCCAGCGCGCCCTCAGTCGCGCTCCCTGTCAGGCTGGGACAGGGCAGTTTCTAAGCAAGGTGTATTCCAAAAACCCAGGGAAAACCTGAACGTTTTCGTGAGCCCCTGCAAAGAGAGGATATTCTGAATCACTTGATACGGAGAAGAAAAAGTTGCTACCGAAAGAGGGTTTTAACCTACGGAGAAAAAGCAACTATTGGTTTTAGCATCAAAGCTGAAGATGAGTTCTGAAAAGCTCCAGTGGTAAATGCCAAAGAGGAAAAAAATAATTGTACTTTGTATTGCAGTTGCCCTTGAAGACATTGTGAATGCCATAAACACCACTTTTTTTTTTAATGCTTAAGTGTGTCCTCTATCTCCTGTTCCATTCCGAGGTGGCTGTGGTTTCTGATACTCGTGCGTAATAATTTCATTTCTTTTATGGATGCGATCCACCGTACAGCTTAGTATTTGGCAGTGCCTTAACTGGAGGACTAACGCTATTCAAAAGAAACTATCGAGCTGCCTTTACCCAGAGCTCGGCAGCATCTTTTTTCGCCTGTTGATTGATGGAGTATTTCTTCCCAGAGAAAGGAAACAAAACTGCTGTTACCATATGTACGGCTCAGCTAAACAAAATCACGCAGCAGCAGGCAG